AATGTACAAAGAGAGTTACGGAAGGGGAAATGGCAAAAATAGAGGGTAATGACAAAGAGACATAAATAGTGGTTGATATCAGCGTTTCAAAATTCGCTAATCGTGCTTGATTTTGTCCACATTAGGAAATCTCGACAAACACTTTTTGCTGTGAAATTCTTTAATGAAGCACAATGATATGTGACACCATTTTGACTTCGGACATTTTAGTTACGTATCGTATCGGGAGGGGATGGTAGTATGGTGTGTGAAATGGACGTGCTGCGGTCGGACAAGAACAGCCACGGAACCCTACACGGTGGGCTGATCTGTACTTTGGCCGACACCGTGTCCTCTTGGGCTTTTCACGTGGTCGAGCGCACGCAAGTCAGCGTCAGTACCGACCTTCACGTCATGTGAGTGCTGTTCAGTGTGAATAATATCGTCGATCGCTGTCAGAACTTTGTTCCTGATTTTTATTCTGTCTTCAAGTAAATCATTACAATGAAAACATAATATAAAGCTACCATAAGTACAGCAAATTGTTTACACAGGGTATCAAATTTGATTTCCCTTTTGGCTGATGCAAATGTTACTAACTGTACTTATATAATGGTTTTGTATTCCACAGTGTTTACCCTTTTGTCAGTTGATAACTTTACACACAGGTTTATGAAGCCCGCGTTAGTTGGTACGACGATTATAATAGAGGCTCGGACGGTCAAGCGTGGTAAAAAAATGGTCTTCCTGGAGGTGACCATCAAGGACAAAGAAAAGGGATTCATTGTCGCTAAAGTGAGCCACTCCAAGCTGATACTAGGTAAGCCGCGTATATTACTATAGATGTTACTGATATTACAGTGAGCCACTCCAAGCTGATACTAGGTAAGCCCCGTATATTACTATAGATGTTACTGATATTAGTGTCACACGTATCAATCAGCCATCGCTGTAAGACGCCGAAAATCGTAGGCTGGTACAAGTGATGTTTTATTTGTGATATTCCACTTGTGTACATTAAAACATTGTGTACATTATGTAGTCTTTTTTTTTTAATCAGAATTTTATGATCGACCAATGTAATTGTTACCGCGTCAAACGGTTGACCATTCAGATTTCAAAAAACAAATCTTGAAGACGATAAATGTGGCCTTTGGATTGTCTTACTTTGCAATGTTGTATTCCAGTGTTGATACAATGCATTTTATATCGGACTTGATTAAAACTAGGTCTTACAAACTCCACACACTTGCAACACACAAAAGAAAGCAATAATAAGACCTTAACTTGAAAACTGTTCTTTGATCCATATGGGACCCACACAACACACACCAAATCAACCAGATAGAGAAAGTACAATACAGAGCAACACGAAATGTACCGACAATTACCACAATAGAAGTTCAGTACAGGACATGCTGTATCTACTATGTTGGCCCTCATTACAACTGGGCTCTGTCCCCAGGCTAGGATATACCGAAGTCCTGAAAAATGGCAGTTGTTAGTTGTTATTCCCTGCTAAACGTTCAGCATTTAGGGGAATCGTAACATGTGACCGGACGGAATCACGTGCCGGATGCCTTCGGCATGCTCTTTCAGTGAGGTAGCACTATATAGTCTGCATCACTGCTATCGCAAGAAGGCAAATACAGCAACATACCCTGTGTCCAAGAATCAAGCACGCATACATTACACACATTGAGACACGTCCTAAAATGACCTTAGTTGATGATAGGACGTTAAACAAAATAAATCCACAACCAATCTTAAAGTAGTTCTGGGAGCCTTGCTCAAGTGCGGTATTTGACTGAGGAGGGACCAATCGATTCGACGCCATTCAGACAACCCTTTGATATTTAACCTCCTTTCCACAGGGGCCTGGGCCTTGTGACTTTGGGAAAGATCGCATACAAAAAGCACGATTATGTGAAAATAATGTGATTTTTGCAATGATTTTGGGGAAAACATAGGGCTATTCCGGCAAGAGTTTTTTAACATGTACAAAAAAGCATCCATGATTTGAATGTCGTTATTTCATTTCAGATGTCGGAACAAAGCTAGTCAAGAGTAACATGTGAGGGTTCCCATCTCATCACAGATCAGCAATGTTAAGGGCTCCCAACTCAACAAAAAATACATTCCAGGGAATCCTCAATAGTCGAGAGAAGAAATATTTGAAAGAATCCAAGCTTGCGAGAAGTAATCTGTATTTACATGGTATATACCCTTTCTCGTGTGAATTTAGATTTGGGAGGAACCAATTGCACGAGAAGTTGTTATTCGAGAGGATCCACTTTCCGGAGAAGTAAGATATAAGTGACGATGGTCACGGACTGGCATTAATTGATCTATGTAAATAAAGAATATTTATACTACAGTTAATGTTATTGCAATAGTGAAATATTATTGTTATACGCACGAAGAACAATTAAAAGCCCATATATCAATATGCTTTGTTACTTTTTGTATTTGGCTACTGACATCAAAATGCCGGTTACATTTCAAAAGAGCAGCTATTACCCCTATCAAATGCCAATTGTTGAATTCTTAATTCTGAACCACCAGGTATCGGTGTCCATCATGTGGTGTAGA